ATTAATATATGCTACACAGTCTAACCAACTTGGGCAACAACCGTTACGTTTGAGGACGACAGAACTCCATATACTGTAATCATGGATAATAGTAAACCAAGTATGACACTGCTTTTGTTTAGATTAAGTTTTCATTTTCCTCTTGATAAACTATTGTAAAAATGTATACATACAGATAAGTTAGCGCTGGTAGGTCTTGAAATGATCCTTCCTGTATTGAAGTTATTTCATTGCTGTACAAATACCTGAAACGAAATAATGGTAATGTTTCATATATTTTACACTAAGGAAATTGTTTATTATCACTGATATGTGAATTATTATCTAGTTTTGATTAATATTATATGATGATATTGGTGTGAATTTGAACCTAGTCGATCAAAAACCTTGAATATAGGTAACAGCGGTTTACAGATGATCAACAAATCTACATTGACAAATTGTTTTCTAAGGAACTGTATGATCATTCTTCAATTTTTCAAATTCAAATTGGTTTAATAACTTGTTTAATATAAAGTCATCATAGATTAAGTTTGTGTACGCTAGACGCGCGTTCCGTGTACAAAAGACTCATCAGTAACGATCAAATCACAAAAAAGTTATAAAGCTCAATATATCGTTGTGTAAAAGACAACAAACGTAAAATTGGCCACGACAACACGCCATTTAGTATCGTATGGTAAATGCGTTTTTTTATCCTTATCAATGAATGATTACAACTGAAATATCTGCTATAGATTGCCTACCTAGCATTGTTACACTCGTCTACTTATTAAATTAATAGAACGCAATCAAATTACCGCTTTAAATACCAAAACGTTTACTACAATCAATGTATTTACAATCATTTTCCCGAACAAAATATGTCGAAATAATAAACACCTAATTTAAACGTTGCCAAGCTGTTATAACCTAAAGTATATCCCAAAACCGAACAAGGAATGGGATTTCTGCCTGAGGTAGATGATCAATATGTTTTGTGTTTGGTTTATTTGCTAAGCTTTAAGTTCTTTTTATCCTGGTATCAATGATGAGTTTTTTTTCTACTTCTTGGTCGATCCAACTATTGATTGAGGTTTCCTCCCAGAGGTTATCATCAGCCTAGTAGTCAACACTTCTGTGTTGACATTTACTATTGATGATATGGTTATCATTATAATGTGACTGTTTACAAAACCTTTAATTTTTCGAAAAACTAAAGATTTTCTACTAAAGGAAAAGATAACCTCAGCTTTATTTGTCACCCCTTCCGAAAATTTGGGTCCTCAGAGTTCTTCAACTTCATACTTCATTTGGCCTTTTTAACATTTTTGTTTCGAGTGTCAATGATGTGTTTTTTTCTCAAAACGTGCGTCTGGCGTACACAGATTAAACCCTTGTGTATCTGATGTGTTTATTTACTATGTCATGAATGCAAATCGTGTGGCAAATTATGAATAATGAATGATTATAACTTCCGTATCCCATATTCTTTGTCAGCCTGTAATTTTTACACCCGTTTTCTTAAAAACTCCATATATTTTAAACATTGATAGTGAACTTAGTCTACCAATGATTGAGTTTGATTGATATCTAATTTTCTTCATGATAGAATATAAAAACAATGTATACATACAGACGGTCCAGCGCTGGAATGTCTTGAAATGTTCTTTGTTGTATTGTAGTTATTTGATTATTGTACAGATATCTGAAAAAAAACCCTGGTACTGTTTTATATATGAGCGGTGTCTGATAGAAATTGATCTTCTGCAAGTGCACGTTTACATGTACATGCATAAGACTTTGATTGCTTTTAGAACATTCAAATACGAAATAAAAGATGAATTGTGGTCTGTTTTGTTTCTTATATCAACTCAATACAAAACAATTACAGACTTTGCATAGAAATTTGTTTTAACCCGAAACTAGTTAACAAAGGTATTTATATTCATTTACATAGGGTCGATTTCTATCCAACGCAGCTCATATATTACTTTTACACTTAGAAAATTGTATATTGATTTTGTGTTTCTGATATCTGAAGATTTATCTAAATTTTGATAAATATTGATTATTTATATTGATGTGCCAATAACGCCAGTCAGTTAACTATTTTCAATATAGGCAACAACAGTTTACAGATGTTCAAACAGACCTCAGTGACAGATTTATTTCTTATGAACTATATTATCATTCTTCAATATTTAAAAGCGAAGTGTTTATAATAAGTTTTTTAATATAAACTCGGCATAGCTATTAGGATTCAAATCTTGGACGTCAGACGCGTTTTTCATCTGCAAAAGACTCAACAGCAATGCTTGAATAAAAAAAGTTCAATTCATTATTGAGTAAAAGGCAACAAACGTAAAATTGGCTATGGCAAGTGCCGTTTTTATCCGTATCAATGAATAATTATTAATTCGGTATTCACTATGTTTTATCTTCCTAGTATTGTTACACTCTTCTACTTATTAAATACTCATGGAATGCAATCAAATCAGCGTTATTAATACCAAACCCGTATTAAATAATTTACTAAGCAATTGCACTAAACCATGACTTTACTCCGCCAAATTAGCCTTACGACAATTAATTTATTTACATTAATTTTCCCGAACAAAATATATGAAAATAATAAACACCTAGTTTAAACGTTGCCAAGCTGATATAACCTAAAGTATATCCCAAAAGAAGACAAGGAATGAGAGCTTTGCATGAGGTAGATAATCAACATGTTTTTGTTTGGTTCATTTTGCTCAGACTTAAGTTTTTTTTACTACCACTTGGTCGATGACACTACTGATGGAGGTTTCCTTCCGGGTTAATCATCAGCATAGTATTCAGCACATCTGTGTTGACATGCATTATTGTTGATATAGTCATAATTATAAATTTACTGTTTATAACACTTTTAATTTTCGAAAAAGCTAAGGATTTTATACCCCAAAAATAGAATACCTTAGTTTTATTTGGGATCCCTTTCGGATTCTTGGTTGTCAGCGTTTTTCAACCTCGTACTGTATTTAACCTTTTTAACATTTTTAATTCGAGTGTCAAATGTGTTTTGTTTTCTCGACAAAACGCGCGTCTGGCGTACAAAATTGTAATCCTGGTGTCTGTGATATGTTTAGATACTATGTCATGTTTTGTAGACAGTAACTTTTCGTTTTTTCAATGGTTAAGTCGTTTTTTTCGACGACCTATGGACAATCTCAAGTTTACCAGCATGTTTCATATTTTCGTTTCTTCCGTGTGAGATTTTAAATTTGTTTTGACATTCTCGCTTATTAATATAAGCTACACAGTCGAACCAACTGGAGCAACAACCGTTACGTTTGAGGACAGCAGAACTCCCTATATCGTTATCATTGATAATAGTAAACCTAGTCTGACACTGCTTCAGTTTAGTTTTAGTTTTCATTTTCTTCTTGATCAAATATTGTACAAATGTATACACACAGAAAGTAACTGCTGGTAGGTCTTTAAATGCTCCATGCTGTGTTGTAGTTATTTGATTGCCGTTCAAATACCCGAAACATAATAGGGGTAATGTTTCATATATTTTACAGAAAGGAAATTGTTTATTATCATTGATATGTGAATATTTATCTAGTTTTGATTAGTATTATATAATGATATTGGTGTGACCATGATGCCAGTTGATCAACAACTTTAAATAGAGGCAACATCAGTTAACATATGTTCAAACAAGCTACATTGACAGATTGTTTTGTAATGAACTATATGATCTTTCTTCAATTTTTCAAAGCAAAGTTTGTTTAAGATGTTGTTTAATATAAAATCATCATAGATTAAAATTGTGTGCGCCAGACGCGAAGTCCGTGTACAGAAGTCTCATCGGTAACGTTCGAATCACAAAAAGTTATGAAGCTCAGTATATTATTATGTAAAAGGCAACAAACGTACAATTGGCCATGACAAAACGTTATTTGGTTTCGTATGGTAAATGCCTTTTTTTTCCTTATTAGTAATGGGATATAACTTTAGTATCTGCTATAGATTGTCTACCTAGCTTTATTACACTCGTCTTCTTATTAAAAACTAATGGAATACAACCCGATTAGCGTTTTAAATACCAAACCGTTTACGACAATCAATGTATTTCCAGTCATTTTCCAGAACAAAATATGAGAAAATAATAAACACATAATTTAAACGTTGCTAAGCTGATATAACCTAAAGTATATCCCAAAACCGGACAAGGAATGAAAGCTCTGTATGAGGTAGATGATCAACATGTTTTGTGTTTGATTTATATTGCTCAGATTTAAGTTTTTTTTAACCTGGCATCAATGATTAGTTTTTTCCGGCCACTTGGTCGATGACGCCACTTATTGGGATTTTCCCCCTGAGGAGATCATCAGCCTAGTTGTCAGCACTTCTATGTTGACATGAACGATTGTTGATATGGTCATAATTATAAATTGACTGTTTACAAAACCTTTAATATTTTCGAAAAACTAAGGATTTTCTACCAAAGGAATAGATTACCTTAGCTTTATTTGGCATCATTTTCGGAAATTGTGGTCGTCAGTGTTCTTCAACTTCTTACTTCATTTAGCCTTTTTAACATTTTTAATTCGAGTGTCTAATGTGTTTTTTTAGGGGGACAAAACGCGCGTCTGGCGTACAAAATTTTAATTCTGGAGTCTGTGATGTTTTTTTATACTATGTCATGGTTTGTAGACAGTTGCTTCTCGTTTTTGCCATGGTTTTGTCGTTTTTTCGACGACCTATGAATGCTATGGACAATCTCAAATTTACCAGCATGTGTCATATTTTTGTTTCTTCAGTTTGAGATTTGAATTTGGTTTGAAATTTTCGCTTATTAATATATGATACACAGTCTAACCAACTTGGGCAACAACCGTTACGTTTGAGGACGACAGAACTCCATATACTGTAATCATGGATAATAGTAAACCAAGTATGACACACTGCTTTTGATTAGATTAAGTTTTCATTTTCCTCTTGATAAAATATTGTTAAAATGTATACATACAGAGAGTTTAGCGCTGGTAGGTCTTGAAATGCTCCTTCCTGTATTGAAGTTATTTGATTGCTGTACAAATACCTGAAACGAAATAATGGTAATGTTTCATATATTTTACACTAGGGAAATTGTTTATTATCACTGATATGTGAATTATTATCTAGTTTTGATTAATATGATATGATGATATTGGTGTGAATTTGAACCTAGTCGATCAAAAACCTTAAATATAGGTAACAGCGGTTTACAGATGATCAAAAAATCTACATTGACAAATTGTTTTCTAAGGAACTGTATGATCATTCTTCAATTTTTCAAAGCAAATTGGTTTAATAACTTGTTTAATATAAAGTCATCATAGATTAAGTTTGTGTACGCCAGACGCGCGTTCCGTGTACAAAAGACTCATCAGTAACGATCAAATCACAAAAAAGTTATAAAGCTCAATATATCATTGTGTAAAAGACAACAAACGTAAAATTGGCCACGACAACACGCCATTTAGTATCGTATGGTAAATGCATTTTTTGTTATCCTTATCAATGAATGATTACAACTAAAATATCTGCTATAGATTGCCTCCCTAGCATTGTTACACTCGTCTACTTATTAAAAACTAATGGAACGCAATCAAAAAACCGCGTTAGGGACCGGTCAAAATTTCTTGATGCATGGGACCGGTGCAAACTGTAATGGGACAAGCACTTTTTGCAGTGTTTACAGGAATGGGACTCAATGTTTTTTCATTATTGGCAAGCATGGGACATGAACTTTTTGAAACAATGTCTGTATATGAAAAAAAAAATATTTGATAAATCTATAACAAACAAAAATAACATCATGAACATCTAGCAATGTGAATTTAACAGTTACAACATACCAAATTCATTTTCAAGATTTAGGGACCGGTCAATATTTATTGGGGGGTTGGGACCGGTGCAAAACGCAGTAGGACACACATTTTTTAACTTAATTTTTGATAGGACTTCTACTTTTTTAGTTTTCAGCACTGATAGGACAGCAATATTGTTATGGCATATGTATGAATGTAGAAAATAAGTAAATTACAACAAAATAAACAAGATTAATTGAGGAACAAACAAGTAACATATGGTGTAAATCAGCCCATCTAACTAAATTAAAAATAGATCTATCAAAATTCCTGTTTTTTTTTTGGTAGTTTGGTTCATTGCTGTGAAATTAAAGAATTAGATTTTCATCAAACTATACAGCTATCTTAGTTATATATTGATCTTACTGAATCCCTGGTCGTTATGTAGTTGCTGTCAAATTTAAGGATTAAATTAATCTAGGTAAAAAAAGATAGAATTTGCATTTTGGACTAAATTCAGATAGTACACTTTAATGTTTTTTTATAACTTTTTCAAATCAACTTGGATTTTCATCAAACTATACACCTATCTCAGTTATATACTGATCTTACTGAATCCCAGGTCGTTATGTAGTTTGGGGTATTGCTGTCAAATTTAAGGATTAAATTAATCTAGTTCAAAAAAGCTAGAATTTGCAGTTCAGACTAAATTTGGATAGTTAACTTTGAATTATTTTATAACTATTTCAAAGCAACTTGAATTTTCATCCAAATCTACAGCTATCTTCATTATATTTTTATCTTACAAAAAAAGCAGGTTATTTGGTAATTTGGTTTATTGCTGTCAAATTTAAATATTTAAATTATAGGTTTCTATCTGAATTTTGTCAAAACTGAAAATTTTAGCCCTTTTTAGCTCACCTGACCTGAAAGGTCAAGTGAGCTTTTCTCATCACTTTGCGTCCGGCGTCCGTCGTCCGTCGTCCGTAAACTTTTACAAAAATCTTCTCCTCTGAAACTACTGGGCCAAATGCACCCAAACTTAAACACAATCATCATTCAAGTATCTAGTTTAAAAAATGTGTCCGGTGACCCGGCCAACCAACCAAGATGGCCGCCATGGCTAAAAATAGAACATAGGGGTAAAATGTAGATTTTGGCTTATATCTCTGAAACCAAAGCATTTAGAGCAAATCTGACGGGGTAAAATTGTTTATCAGGTCAAGATCTATCTGCCCTGAAATTTTCAGATGAATCGGACAACCCGTTGTTGGGTTGCTGCCCCTGAATTGGTAATTTTAAGGAAATTTTGCCGTTTTTGGTTATTATCTTGAATATTATTATAGATAGAGATAAACTGTAAACAGCAATAATGTTCAGCAAAGTAAGATCTACAAATAAGTCAACTTGACCAAAATGGTCAGTTGACCCCTTAAGGAGTTATTGCCCTTTATAGTCAATTTTTAACCATTTTTCGTAAATTTTTGTAATCTTTTACAAAAATCTTCTCCTCTGAAACTATTAAGACAAATTTAACCAAACTTGTCCACAATCATCATTAGGGTATCCAGTTTAAAAAATGTGTCCGATGACCCCGCCCGCAAACCAAGATGGCCGACATGGCTAAAAAATAGTACATAGGGTAAAAAGCAGTTTTTGGCTAATATCTCTGAAACCAAAGCATTGAGAGCAAATCTGAAAAGGATAAAATTGTTCATTAGGTCAAGATCTATCTGCCCTGAAATTTTCAGACCAATCAGGCAACACGTTGTTGGGTTGCTGCCCTTGAATTGGTAATTTTAAGAAAATTTTGCAGCTTTTGGTTATTATCTTGAATATTATTATAGATAGAGATAAACTGTAAACAACAATAATGTACAGCAAAGTAAGATCTACAAATAAGTCAACATGACCAAAACTGTCAATTGACCCCTTAAGGAGTTATTGCCCTTTATAGTCAATTTTTTACAATTTTCATAAATTTTGTAAATTTTTGTAAATTTTTGCAAAATATTTTCCACTGTAACTACTGGGCCAAGTTCATTATAGATAGAGATAATAGTAAGGAGCAAGAATGTTCAGTAAAGTAAGATCTACAAACACATCACCATCACCAAAACACAATTTTGTCATGAATCCATCTGTGTCCTTTGTTTAATATGCACATAGACCAAGGTGAGCGACACAGGCTCTTTAGAGCCTCTAGTTACCTATTAACTAAGTCCTTAAATTTGACACAATACACCAAAACACAAAACAACCTGGTATTTTGTAAGATAAATATATAATAAAGATAGCTGATTTGAAAAAGTTATAAAATTTTAAAAATGACACCTTTGTTTTGTTAAAACAAGAATTTAATATAATCATGATAATAGAACTTTCATAACAATCCTTGATAACCTTTTAAAAAGGAAATGTGTTCCAAAGTTACAGTAAAAATTTATTTTAATCAAATTTAAATAAATTTTTGTCAGATTTAAAGACATGGCATACAAGAGGCACTTTAATAAGGTTTAATTACATCAGTACATGTGTGTTTTACAGGTAAAAGGTGTAATACCACCAAATCATAGTACGTCACATCCGGTTGCATACGAAAATAGGTCTAAAAAAATATTCCCTTGAATTTGACAGTTGTAGGTAATTGATCCTACATTTCATTGCAGTAAAACATTTCTGAGTCATAAACATATATCTTGGGTATTTCAAAGCACCATTATTTCTTTATTTGGGGTTTCTATAGAATATTTTGGAAACTTAAGGTTACATGGTTACTAAAGCTTGTACACAGGTTAAAAAAGGGGGGAAATTTGATTGGTTAACTTCCAGTGATGGTTATTTTCTTATATGCAATGAAATGTTATGTGAATTTTTTTCTATAGTACTGGACAGGATAAAACTTTACTCATGCCAAGTATTTCTTTATTTGAAACAAAGATAAATTCTGCACAATTTTTTGAAAAGTGCAAATTTAACAAAGACTAATAGGGGAAAATCAATGGTGGTATTACACCTAAAAAGAAAGCCCTACTTTTCTTAAACTCGTGTATTACTTATCGAATGTAGGACAGAAAGTCACAGGACAAAAATTCACAGACAAAAAGCCACAGGACAAAAAGTCACAATTCAGTTTTGAGATTATTTTTCTTTAACAAGAAAACACTAATTTAAAAAAAAAATTTTTGTACTTTTCTTGAACTTTAGTATATAAAGCAACTTTGTAAACAAAATTTATATAAAAAAAGTATTTATAATGATCAAATAATTGTTATGAAAACAAAATGTCAAAGTGGGTTGGTACTTAAACGGCTTCATGGTGCCAAGAAATATATCTTTTGCATGATTAAAATTTAATAAATCTTTATTTATCAAGTCTAATGAACAATTTTCTCAACTGTAAAATAAATATATGTAATAAAAAGTAAATATTTAAAAATCTTTCTCTAAAATATTCAAACAAGTGTATACATATTATTTGTGACTTTTTGTCCTATCAAATTTGTGACTTTTTGTCCTATCAAATTTGTGACTTTTTGTCCTGTAACTTTCTGTCCGTTTACCTACTTATCTAGTGAATTCAAAAGGCCTTGCGATTTAAGTTTAACAGGATGTTGCAATTTTGAATGAATGTTATTTAGAATTTAATAGTCTGTGGTAGGTGTGATCTTTTTGCCCCAAGCAGGAGGTATTGCTTTATACTTCACCACTTTAATCAGAAGGACAATTTTAATAATTTCTTTAATGTTTGATCCCTTTTTGATATATTCATATAATATATATCAACATGTCGAGACAATGTCGAGACTAGTCGAGTAAAATGTGAGCACAAAATCTGGTCTTTTCAGACTCTGAGCAGTTTGTAGTGTAGATAATGAACAAATCCAAAGTGATGAAGAAGATGACCTTGTAATAAGAGCCTATGACAGTTATGACAGTGATAATGACAATGATGATAATAATACTAAATGATGAATACAGTAGTAATAGTAGTAGTAGTGGCAGTGAAAGTGAAAGTGAAATTGAAAAGGAATCTTATTTGCCTTCTTCAAGGAGGAGATAATTTAAAATTCCAGACAAATTCAAAGACTACTATATGTGATCTATGTTAATCTGATAAAAATGAAGTTAAATACAAAAAAGAAGATGTGGTATGATTGCCAATGAGACAACTCTCCACAAGAGACCAAATGACACAGAATTTAACAACTATAGTCTGTTTGATTTATTCATAGATTAGATAGGACAT